AAAGAATCTTGGTTGAGAGATTGAAGTTTTACCTGAATAGTAGAATGATACTCAGTCGGCGACAGTATGGTTTCACAGCTGGCTGTTCTACAGATGATGCATTATATGATACTATTGACTTTATTAGAAGCTATAAGAGTTCGCATCACGTGGTGCTGCTGTCCTTGGATGTTTCGTCTGCATTCGATTCCGTGTGCTGGAACTATATTTTACAAACTATGATTAACCTTAAATTGCCAAGGAATTTGATTCAATGTTATAGGAGTTATTTTAACAATCGCAAAATCTTGTTTAATGCTTTTAAGGATGAGACTGCAGAGATAGAACTAGAAATTTTCATTGGTTGTCCGCAGGGCTCCTGCAGTGCTCCCCTGCTCTGGAATATCATATTAAACAAATTTCTTATTTGGAATTCCCCAGTGATGTTAACTTTATTGCATATATGCAGATGATCTTGCTGTTCTGATGTATGGTGCATCATTGGAAAAACTCGAGAAATCATTTGAGAATGTTATGTTAAAACTGGAAAACTGGAGAATTCGGCGAGGGTCTTGAATTCAACTTAGAAAAAACTTTCGCAATCATTTTCCCGCGGGCTGGGATCAAAGTGAGAGCTCCACGATTTAGATATCAAGGAAAAAGAATAAAGTTTGTTGATGTTATTAAATATTTGGGAGTCAAGATTGATTGCAAGTTGACCTTCGCAGATCATTTTAAAACAATTCATCGGCTCTCAGATGATATGTTAATGTTTTACAGGAGATCTTTTACTAGTGAGACACTTTGTAACAAATCATGCATTCTTAAAGATATTTTGAATAATGTAATTATACCTAGAGTTTTCTATGGAATTGGTGCCTGGGGATCCAGAGCCGGGGATTTGGTCAGGTTGAGGAACAAAACCCGATGCGATACAGAGGAGCTGGTGCTTAATGATTACAAGATGTTTCCGTACTGTCTCAACTGAGGTGCTCTGCGTTCTAGCCGGCCCGCCACCTCTTTCAATTTTATATAAATTATATTTTGAAAAATTTTTGTTCAGAACTGGTAGACTTGATTTTAAATTGTATAAAGATATTTTGGTTACAAAGCATATGTTTGAAAGAATTAATAATATTTTGGTACATCCTTCTGATTTATGTGTTTTTGAATTTGATTGTAAACTCCCAATAATTGGAGAATTGGATATTTATACTGACGGGTCCAGGCAAGATGATAAATTGGGTGCAGCATTTGTGATTTATCATTATGGAACTGAAATTGAAAATAAAAAATATAAGCTTAATAATTATAATTCTGTATTTCAGTCGGAATGCTGTGCTTTACTTAAAGCCCTTCAATGGGTTAAGAAAAATTTGACTTGTGTTAATTCTATTCATATATATACTGATTGTATGTCTTTGCTTCAATCCTTGACCTCGGCCCGTCCTACTAATTTCTTAATATTTGATATTAAATGTCTATTGAAATTTTTGATGCAGAATATGTGCATTCATTTACACTGGATAAAAGCCCATGTTGGCTTTGTTGGAAATGAAAGGGCCGACGTGCTGGCTAAAGAGGCGACCACTAATGATGATTATTGTTGCACATGGTTGCGGCTATGTGCAACAATAGACTATGCGTATTGGAATTTGCCAATGCTTTTTGGAATGAATTCATAACATGCCATAAGAGCCAATTTTTGATAACAAAAACATTTAATCACATCACAATATTAAAACTTAATTACTACAGTCGACAGACAATCACGTTGGAGGTAAAGCGAACGACCAACCGCACTGACGACGAGACGTGACTGTGTGTCGCCGAAATCACCTTCGGTTACAGTTAGTGATAACGGCACGCGGTTGGCGAGTACAATACATGTTTACAGAGTCGCCACACTACTCCCCCTCCAGTGGCAACAAATTAAAGGTACCGAGGGTTAAATCGGACTCTACGTCCGGAACGTGTATACTGAGGAGCACTTGTTTTCTGGGATCCAGGCACAGGAACTGACGTAGTAGCAGATGTTGGTGTATACCCAATAGATGAAGGTGCCTTCGAAGGAGGTGGGACTGATGTACCAGTCTCGACAGTTTGTGGTGCTAAGATAAAGGCTGGTTTGAGACGATCAAGGCTCACCGCTGTCTCTTTGTCGCCGATTAGTATCCGATAGTTCTTAAATGTGCGACTTAGAACTAGGTGTGGGCCTGTATAGGTAGGCTCCAAGGACTTTTTTGATGCATCACACCGTAAGAACACGTGTGAGGATGTAGCGAGTTCTTTAGGAAACACAGGTCTTGAAGAATGTATGCTTGTGGGCTTAGGGTATAAAGCAGCCATGGTTACACGCAATTGTTTGAGGAATGCATGGGGCTGGACATTGGGTGAGTTTTTTGCGGGATTTATAAAATCTCCCGGTAAACGTAAATTGGTACCATAAACCATTTCAGCACTTGAAGAACCCAGGTCCTCTTTGATAGCCGTTCTGAGTCCTAACAACACAGTAGGAAGGACATCAACCCAGTGAATAGCAGTATGGCATCTAATGGCCTTTTTAAGAGAGCGATGGAACCTCTCGACAAGTCCATTGGAATTCGGGTGGTACAGTGATGTACGGATCTTTTTAGTTCCCAAGAATTTTGTTAATGCAGTAAATAATTGAGATTCGAACTGCCGTCCTTGGTCCGTGGTAACGTACTCGGGTACCCCAAACCGTGATATCCATACAGAAAAAAAGGTTTTTGCCACAGTGTCGGCTGACATATCTACAATAGGAATAGCCTCTGGCCAACGTGTGTATCTGTCGACACACGTAAGAAGATATGTATAACCTAGTGATGGGGGTAAGGGTCCAACCAAATCGATATGTAAAGCGATATCTAAAGCGAGCAGATTGTAACTCAAAGCGTTGACATGGAGTTCGAGTGTGCCTGTGAATTTTTGATTTTTGACAGCCTGTACATGACCTCACCCATGCAGCGATGTCCTTCTGCATACCAGGCCATACAAAACGCTGTTGAATTAACGTGCGAGAAGCACGGATGCCAGGATGGGATAAATTATGGAGGACGCTAAAAATACCATGCCGGAATTTCAGTGGAATGTATGGCTGCACCACATTACCTTGCACATCGCAGTACAGTGAATGATCTGGTTCTAACTGCATAGGTACTAAATTAAGTCCATGAGAAGATTGTCAGACAAATGATGTTGCAATTCTGGGTCCTGTTTCTGACATTCAGCAATGGCGGAGAAATCTGTTGTTGATGGCAACTGAACCTCTTTAATTCTGGACAGAGCATCAGCAACTGTATTTTGAGGGCCTTCTACATGCCTAAAATGGGTTGTAAACTGCGCTATGTAATCAAGATGACGTATTTGCCTGGGAGAAGCCTTGTCAGGCTTTTGTCGAAAAGCGAAAATTAGCGGCTTGTGGTCGGATAGATAGAAAACACACGACCTTCTACCATATGACGAAAATGTTTAACAGCATCATACGCACTAAGAAGTTTGCGGTCATACGTGCTGTATTTTGATTGCGCTGCAGAAAATTTTTTCGAGAAGAAAGCCAGAGGCTTCCATGCTCCGTCGACCAGTTGCTGCAAAATCGCACCCATGGCCGTATTAGACGCGTCAACCATTAATGCTAAAGGATGCTTAGAAGGATAGCTAAGAGCCGTTGAAGACGCTAAGTCATTCTTACATTGTACAAAGGCTGTACGGGCCTCATCAGACCAAATAATTGGCCGCGTATCTTTCTTTTTACTCCCAACCAAATATGTGTGCAAAGGTGCCTGCTTTTCAGCGGCATGAGGAAGTAAGCGACGATAAAAATTTAACATGGCCAGAAAACGACGCAGCTCCTTTTAACAGTGACTCTGTCACTGGAAGTTTTAATACGCCCTCCTTAAATTTTTAATTGTAGTTTTTGATTTTAGAAATGTTCTGAAATTTTAAAGTTTCCCGAAAATTTTTCTTATATTCTGTTCTTGATGGAGTAATTTCTAAAGTTTTAATATGATGCATGGCAATCTTGAATTTTTTTCCAGTTTTGGTTATTGGCAGTCCTAGAGCTTCTTTTCTATGATTATTAAAGATAATTAATACATTTGAATTCAGATAGTAGTAGGACTATTAAAGTAAATTTTTAAAAAATTAATAGTTTAAATAGAATTATGATTATACAAATAATATGCTATTAAAGTAATACTGTAGGGAATTCGGTTTGACCTTCTGCAGGTTTATTTAAATTGGGAATTCCCTCGATGGCTTTGGACCGCCTATGCCTGTTCCGAAAATTCATGTGAATGAATATTTCTTGAGAGTTTCCGCCACTCTGTTTGCTCGTGTGGCTTTTAATTGTTTTTGGATTTTGAATGTTTGGTGTTGTGCTTCGTTGTTTGTATGTCTCTTCCTTATTTTTAGTTCGTTAATTAACCTCCAATTATTTTTAGTTAATTAGCTTCTTTTTCTCTCTTCTTTCCTTTTGTGGTCTTGAGGGGGTCGACCCTTTATAATCATATGCTTCAGTGGGACTAGGAGGATTGGGTCTTCCCTGTATTACGACTATTATGACTCCCCTGGCCAGCAAATTCCCCGAACTTAAACTCAATCGAGAATGTGGGACCACCTGAGTCGGGTTATTCGCACCATGGATCATCAGCGTAACATAGCGCGGCTGGCCACTGCACTGGAGTCGGCATTGCTTAACATCCCAATCGGTATTGCTCAACCTTCAAGAACCTGACTCTCTTCCTGCAAGTCTCGCAGCAGAACTGCCGGTCCTTGACCCGGGGATCGGATGTTCGGAAAAGCCTGGAAACCACTGTAGGCGGTGTAAACCGTGCGCGGGAGATCGTCGTAGGCAGTGGCGGAAGGCAGGAGACCCGGCGTTTGATCGATGGGCAGGGACTGTGGGAATGGTTTCAGGTTCGCCTGCTTGCGTCTCCCACAGCTCAGCGTGAGCCTCCTCGTGATCCCGCTAGAAACTAGGTCTTGGCTCGTATAGGCTAATGACGCTGAACAACCAATCCCAGGGGATCGACTGGTCGGAATTTCCGGAACCGACCATTTATGGGAGGAGACTCAAGGTTCTCCCAGACCAATGGCTGGACTTGTGTCCTGCCAGCTTCGATTTGTTGGGTATAATCAGACTTCACAGGACTAAAACCATAGGTCCATCCTATGGTAGGTGCGGGCTTGGCAGGGACTGTACTGGTACTGTCGTGTCCGTTGCTTCGCTGTGGGGACGCTCTCATGTAGATACGAGGGCAATCTCAAAAAAAAAAGGCCTCCTATATTTTTAGATATACAAAGAACCGTTTATTTTCTATAATTGCGATATCACTTTAAAGATTGAAGAATGCTTTATTTTTCAACATAATCGCCATTTCGGTCGATGCATTTTTGTAGACGCTGTGGCAATTTTACAATGCCCATGTCATACCAGCTTCCCGCCATGCCCTTCAGAAAGCGTTGAATCAACAGTTCAATCTTCAGAAGAATCAACCCGTTGCTGTTTGTGGTCTTCTGTCAGCATACGTGGCACCCATCTTGCACACACCTTCCGATATTGCAACTTTTCCGTTAAAATCCTGTGGATGGTGCTTCTGGAAACCTGAGGAACCAAAATGCAGAGAGCATACAGAGTGATCCTCCGATCTTTACGCATGAGTTCCTCAACTTTCGCGATTGTCTCGTCGGCAATTGATGGCCTCCCGCTCCTTTTCGTCATGAATTTCAGTACGACCGGCTGCAAACTCTCTACACCACTTGCGAACGTTTTTGACATCCATGCACGACTGTCCATACACTCCCGTCAATAGGCGGTGAATTTCAACCGGTTTAACGCCTGTTGCGTTCAAAAATCGAATAATTCGCACTTGGCGGTAACGTTTATCGGAAGCTCCATTTCGAATGGCTGCCAAGCCAAGACTGAGCATCCAAGCGAAGCGCCTGCGTGCTTATGTGGTAGCGAAGAAGGCACTACTCACAACAGTGTTGCCAACAACCGTATTAAAACTTTCTCTACATCCCCCCAAAATTGGAGACCTTTTTTTTTGGGATTGCCCTCGTATTAAGCGCTGTGCTGTGGGGACGGCTCCCCGCGCAGCCCTCAGTGTGATGGATTGTGGCGATGAACAGGAGAAGTCCCTGCGGGCTGTTCGGTGGGTTGGCGCCCCACCGGCACAGTCAACTGTGAAAGGCCTCTGTATCATGTTAAGGCGCTCTGCCAGGTAATGTTGCCGGACTTGGAGTTAATGTCACCTATATTCACATAATTGCAGTACGTCATTGTAAATTTTGGCAGGTGCTAAATTTAGATGAAGAAACGTACAGTGTTCTACCGGATTACCGGTAATCAAGAATTTAGTCCGCTGGCTATCAACAGGACAGGTTTTGATAAAAGTTTTAATTTTAAGACAACAAATTTTAAACTTTTATTAAGATAGGGAAAATTATGTGAACTATCAAATGAAGCATTTTGCAGAAACAGTACACTTTTGTCTGATGTTATGACACTTGGCAGTGTGGTTTAATTTACATCGGCCAAACTAAGAAAGGCCTTAAAATTTCGCTTTAAGGAACATGAGGCATATGTTTGAAAAAAGGTCCTCTCTTGCCCAGCATTGTTGGTCCGAAAATCACACTTTCAATTTTTCTGCAACCAGAATTATTCAAAAAACATCTTCCATTGATGAATTAGATTTCTAGAGGCGTTTAACATTTAAAAAATTCTTTCTATTCTAGTTAACAACCCTAATTCCAATTCGTCTTTGTTCATCAGCCTTTAAGGAAATTATGTTTTAGTTCTCATTTCATCAATAGATGGCGCCAGTAGCTTAAAGCTTGTCCAGCCATTCTTATATTATATAATCACTATATCTTATCTCGTTCATTTGTGCTAGGGAGCTGAGGATGATGGTTCGGTAAAACCATCGAAACTAGTCCTGTTAAAATTTTCAAATATAACACTGATTTTTGTTGTTTCAATTCTAAATTAGTTCTATATATATATAAAGCTGAAGTGTGCTGAAGTGATACAGTTTGGCATTGTACTTACAAAGTGTACAAGAATCATCAAGAATTTAAATCAGGAATTATTTTTAGATAGAGAAGTTTTTTCTTCATTTTTTAATTATGCTGTTCTCTGATATTGATTTTATGAGAGTTTAATATTTTTTATTTGCCTAAATAAATGTATGGAGTTATTTATTGCTTAATTATTTTTAATATTTAATATTTATTTATTTATTTTCATCATAGAATCATGAATTGTTTGTTGATGACTCTTTCCCACCTTTACCCAAATCATTATATTATAACCCAGAAGAACCTAGAGATGAATCTGTTGACCAGTGGCTTAGGCCGACTGAAATAACATGTGATCCGTTTGAAGAACAAATAAAATGGGCTGTCTTTAGAACACCTATGCCATCAGATATATCACAAGGTTAGTAGGAAAGTTTCTAAACTCTACTTGATACACACTTTCTTAATTTATAATACTTAATGATGTCCAAGTATGTACAGTACAAAGTCTTTAATTCGGACTCTTCCGGACTTCCCGATTAGAGGTTTTTCCGGATTATAGATCATCAATTTAAATCTGGTAAGATGGCATGCAGAAATTATAAAATTAAAAATATGAAGCCATAATTTATGAAATAAAGAGCAATTATGATCTAAAGCGTATCAAAATTTACAAAAAAAAAAAAAAAAAAAAAAAAAAAAAAAAAGATTAAAATTTATTTGTTTACTTTATTGAACATTTCTTTCAATGTAATAAGTTGTTTAAGTTACTTCGTTTTTTGTGCTAATACTTTCTCTTTAATTCTATAAACAGACATAATTTCTTGTTCAGTTCCACTATTCAAGTCCTGTAATTGCTGTGTCGAGAATACCGACTAACTTGTCAATCGAAATTTTTTCGTTTTCAATACCTCTCTGTCACTTTCTTCACTATGGGAAGTGGTACATCGAAACATGCTTTCGCTTTGTAGATCTTTTGGCAGCTTCAGAATCGGAAACTCTTTTTGACATAATCGAAAGTTCAAGTTTACTTTTTATAAAATTGCTCTAACAGTCTGCAAAAAATAATAAGCCGGATCCAATTAGATAATTTTAGCCTAGCTTGTACCGTCCGTTATATATTAAACGTGCATGCGTAAACGTATTATGCGCATGCGAAATTTATGCGTTTACCAGAAAGTTTGTAGCTTTAAGGTCCGGATTATAGATCATTCCTGATTATGGACTTTGTACTGTATTATTAAAGCTGGTAAAAATATCAAAAATATATTCTTGGTTTTAAACTATTGTGACTTTTAACAGATTCAGCACCAGGGAAATCAATGACTTTGCTTAGAAAGAATTCATAGCATTTCAAAATTAATGTAGAAATTGGTACACTAGTGGGACAACTCCATTGTAATAAATAACTAGGGTTGCTTGCATATAGGATAGATTATGCTTAAATTGCACATTGAACTAAAAGTGCATTTATTATAAATCTGTGAGAAGCTTTACCAACACTATAATAATGACCAATTCACAATTGATATTGAATGCATAGAAACAAATTATTTGAAAGTTAAATTATTGTCCTCATTATGTGAAGATTTTACTAGTGACAAAAGTCACTCTAGCCAAGAGTCATTGAGCATTCTGAGTACGTGCTCTGTCTGGAAAAGTTTGCAGACTGAATTAATCATATCTAATTTATGGTTCTATTTTACATCCTGTGATTTTTAATAGTGGAAGGCAGTGCCAGAAGAGCTACTACACCATTCACCAATCAACATCCTGAATTTGAGAGGCCTTGATGACAGACATGGTGCAGATCGCTAACCTGATACTGGCCATGAAGTTATGGTCATTGTAATGTTGAGTGGCAGCATTACTGAACAAGTTATTTGTCCTGCAGTCTCAGAGCATGTTGTCTAAGACTTCATAACAGCTCGGAGATTGTGACTTTTGAGGGAACCACATGCATTCTTTATATGGTCTGCCACAAAATAAACAGTTAATTTCTTAAATTGTTGATTGATTCTTTATTCACAGTAGAGAAGTAGCTTATCTCCCGCTTGAGATAATGCATTCTGTGACCAAAAAGTCAAAATGCTCCTATGTCATTTTCTGATCTGAATGAAATTTGTGTTATCCATAAAAAGGTGGGAAGAGATTTGGGGTTCTTACTGGTCCACAGAAGTTATTAAAGAGGCACACATGGTTAATATGAGTTTATGTAGGAAGGCATTTTTTTGGATAAAAGTACCTGCTGAAATATGGAATATAAATGGCAGTGCAGCTGGTTATAAGATCTGTTGAATGCTATACCTGTGCATTTATATCATTATTGGTCTTGTTGTCATATGAGATGCCTTTCCATAGCGTTACATTCGTCAGATGCAAATATGATAATCATCTTCAAGGCAGAAATGAGATTCGTCACTCCATAGATAACTGCCATCCTGTGTTTATCCTGAACTCTTGGGCATGGTACCCCCCTCCAGGTATGGTTAGTAATGGTTTGGAGTTCAAAGATGAGTGTCTTAATATGAGGCATGTTTGCAGTTTTGCCTTTTGGAAATTTCTGTCAGTTGGTTGTGAAGAAATTGGGTACATCACAGTTAATGATATGCACCATTGGACTGTTGGTGATAAAAACATGAATCAGTTGTAGTTTATTGCATTATCAATGTAAGCTATCCACTTTTTTTGCATCCTCCTAGGCTAACCAGAACTTCCATTATGCATACATAGCCAACCAGAACTTGTGTATGGAGAATTTATGTATGAGAATATGTGTATGGGCCCAAACAGAACTTTAATATGTATGTCTACCATCATTGCTGCCAGCTGATGATAGCTCCTCCATCAAGCAGCCCGATCTGCTTTTATTAGGCCTATGACACAACCCTTTTAAAAAATTTATTTTTGCCGGCATGGGTGTTTGAGTACATCATAATTGATGACAGTTTACTTGAACAGTAAGCCAGAATATTCCCAGAAAACCACTAAGAACAAGTTTCTTGTTCATTGATGCCCAAATAGTGATCATTTACACTTCTCGTACAAATTAATTTTCATGAAACAATTGTGGAGAAATTTTATTCTTATATCAAAAAGTGTATCTTCACTTTCACTCAAATGTTGGCAGTTAATTAAACTATAGACTGTGACAGCTTAACTTTTCTTTCTTTTTTAAATTAATGAAAATGATTATTAATGAAAAGCTAATTATTGAATATGTATCCCATACATTAAAAAATGTTGTTTCCAAGAGTGTTTATTTGTGTCAATTTACTAATAATGCATGTGATGTAAGAGGCATTAAATAATTAGTTATAAATAAGAGTTTCGGAAATTGAATTTTTCAGAATTATGGATATTTAGCTCATTGATGCTTTCATTCTCTGTGTATAAAATCAAGAAATCATATTTACTAATAATGCTTAATGAATTAAAGAATGAAAAAACAATGCAGCTTCAGATTTTTATTGATGTTTTTCTTCTAAATAGAATATTTCTTCTCCCGCCCTTTGTTCCTTTAAAAACTAATTCTCTGTGAATTCATACATTTCATATCACTTTTTATTTAGGAATTCTGGGCAATTGCTGGTTATTAAGTGCTTTAGCAGTGTTAGCAGAAAAACCAGAATTGGTGGAACAAGTGATGATTACAAGAACAATATGCCCACAAGGAGCATATCAAGTACGTTTATGTAAAGATGGCTGCTGGACAACAGTGCTAGTTGATGACCTTTTACCTTGTAATTCTCGTGGTAGACTTCTTTATTCCAAGGTATATTTTGTTTTTATAATATAAGATGGTTTTGAAAACATTCATTTTAAGTTTTTCTTGAATTTTATAATGAAAAAGATAACATGATAGCAAGCAAAAATCTGTGCAGAGAAATTTATGGCAATTTTTTTATTGCTTTAATTTTAATTGTCAATATCAATTTAAATTCATTGTCGAAGCAAGCCACAGAGATTTTTTATGCATATTAGAATAAATTGCTGTATTATAATTAATGTTTTAAATATTTTATTTTACAAATGCCAAACATTAGCTACAGGCTAAGGCCTACAGTCTAAGATTCTGTGGGAACTATTTTGATTATTCAGAAGGGCTTGAAGCACACTTTTGGAATCTGATAATATGACTACCTTTACAAAAGAGTGGCTACAAATCGTCAGTTGTTGAATAGCCACAGCAATGGCTTCAATTTCCCCAATCAAAGGCTCACTGGTAAGAAGGCTCACTGGTAACTAGAAACTAAAAAGCTTGGTATGGGTGTCTGCTTTAAACACAGTGTGCTCTGTCTAACATAGAGCCATTAGTGTAGACACACAACCACTCATTTTTAAGAATAGCAAACCCCCAATAGTTTCCATTGCAATAGATCTTAATTGTGAATCTCTCATTTCATTTTTAACAACTCTTTGTACAAAATCAAAAAGTCCAAGGGACAATGGGAAGGAGGTAAAATTAGATAATCTCGGTTGAATTCCAAAGCATCAGATTCTCTCTGAGCAGCCTGAATAAAACCAATTTGAGTTTTAAGATTTCTAGAACTTTCATTATTATAGTTCCTCCAAAGAGGGTTGTCGGACAAACGCACCAGGTTCTGGTATAATAGGATTGCTTTTCTCTTAATAAAATCATGGACAGGTTTCAAACCAGTGTTAAAAGCTGCATTGCAAGAATAGGAGTAGATCTCACTGCCCCATTAATTATGCGTAATGCTTAGTTCTGAACGACTTTGAGGATCTGGAGTTAAGAATAAATATATTATTTCTTAACTGGTCCTTTCTGTACTTTCAATCTATATCTTGATTTTAACAAAACTTTAAGTAGTCATCAGTGTCTGTCACAGCTCAACCTTCAGCCCACCAGATGTTTTAAGACAGAGTCTTTTCACTGCTTTATTTTTTAAATGTTCTGCATGTTTCCTCCAGTTTAAGTGTAAATCAAGAATGTATCCCAAATATTTAGTCGAATCAACATCTATAGCCTTATATGTAAACTTTGGGGTAAAATGCTGTCTGTTCAAAGTGAAGAACTGGCACGTGCTCATATTCTGATGTACTCTCATACTATTTTTTAGGCATCAGTATTCCAGCTCTTCAGAGCACTATTAAGAGTTGCATTTAAACCATCCTGCTTGTTTTTAGAAGCACTACTCCAGATAACCAAATCATCAGCAAATAGGGTAGAATCCACCTATGGTCACAAAGTGTTCTGTAAATCGTTAATAAAAACATTAAAAAGAATTGGGCTGATGACTGTTCCTTGTGGGAGGCCAATTTCTGTCTGTTTTAAATCTAGAAATGTCGTAGCCTTATCTAACAACAACAAAAACAAAACAAAACAAAACAAAAAAAAAACTATGATAAGAAATTTTTAATAATAATAAAAAAAAAAACCATTTTACTATTTATTCCCAAGTTCTGTAATTTCTGAATAATGTGAAATCTACATACTTTATCATAAGTTGATTCAAAGTCTATAAATGTTGCCAGGACAGACAAATGGTTGTCTAAAGAATCCTATGTTTTAAATATAAATATATTATTTCTTAACTGGTCCTTTCTGTACTTTCAATCTATATCTTGATTTTAACAAAAGAGGACACTTCTTACAGTTAAAAGTGGTATCTTTCTAGATACCTCTTCAGTTGCTTTCACTGTTCCATGTAGAAGTTTGTGTGCATTTAATAAATGCTCTTTCTGTCACTTCAAAATGTAATAATTCGTGGTGGCATATCATGTTATATAAGCAAATAAAAAAAGACATACAGGAAAAAGAAAGGGAATATAAAGAAATGTATAAACAAGAAATATAAGCAAAGGATAAAATTTAATACCAGTTTCTTCTTCTTATTATTATTTTTAAGAAACTAAGCTGTAGAATTGGTTTTGTATTTTTTTTTTTTTTTTTTTTTTTTTTTTGGTGATTGAGTCATACTATTTGACAACAGTGAAGATAAAGAGGTGAAATTTCTTTTTCTAATAAAAGTTACATTTCTTTTTATCTGATAGCAAAAAATTTTGATTCTTCTCATGACTCTTCTTTCAACTGCTTCTAACTTTAATTTTTCACTGTTGAGTTTCAAAGTTTCAGTGCAGGATACTGAAACTTTGAATTCTTGAAGCAAAAATTTTCATGCATTTTTCTTAATTTTTACAATAATGAGTCGGATCTTATTTTATTATGCTCTTTTTATTAAATCTCTCTTTTATGAACTTTATAATGCGTATCTGTTTTGTTTCTAGCTAAATGATTTTGAGAACAACATATTTTGCAATCAGTGTACTTTCAGGTGGCATCAGCATTTTGTTTTTAGCTTTACTATTTAGTTATATAGCTTTGCTGTTTAGTTTTTAACTGTAATATTTTCAGTTACTTGTTGAACTTCTTCTTCTTTTTTTTTTTTTTTTTTTTTCTTTTAAGGTCAGAAATTATCTTTGAAACAGTTGTAAAAGTATGCATATTCCTTTGTTGTTGCCCTCCCCCCATATAAAAAGGATGCTTGTGGTTTTTGTCTTTAGTATGAATAATATTATTCATTGTGTTTAGAAATGTTAAGTTGGTGGTTTTAACATCATTCTTTTAAAATAATCTTTTTTGGAAAGAGAAAAATTGTAGCATACTATTCAGAACTTACATGTATGGGACATTTCCAAAGAATTGTTTGGCATGTTTCAGATTTCTCTTTTATTAAAATCATAATACCGTTTGTTTTTGAGCTGTTGACTCTGTAAATGAATGGCAAGTTTAAAAATAAGTAGTACCTGAAGTATGTATGTCAGGAAATAAAAGATTTCAAATAAAAATCTCCAAGATCCTGTATGTAAACAGAAATCACATATGTAAAATGAGACCTTGCATTCTTGACCTTGCAGGAATGAAACGTTTTATGAAATATAAAAATTCATTAGCCTAACTATATTTTTTAGGAAATCTGGCCAATACCTACACCCCTTCCCATGCACACATTACAGTCAAAAGTCGTTAATTCGGACACCCATAATCCGGAATGATCTATAATCCGGACCTCAAAGCTACAAACTTTCTGCGCAAGCAACGCGTTGACGCATGCGCATAGGCATTTACGTGCACGCGTAAGACCTTTACAGCTGCGAATATGCTTGTGCGCATGCTCATAAAATGTTTACGCATGCGCGTTTAATGCATAACGGACGGTGTAAGCTAAGCTAAAATTATCTAATTCAGTTAATGTTGCAGATTGCGTTGTTCCTTAATCTTCGAAATGGATCCGGCTTATTATTTTTTGCAGACTGTTAGAGCAATTTTATAAAAGTAAGCTTAAACTTTCGATTATATCAAATATAATTTCTGATATATATTTGTAATATGTAAAGGATCTAAAGCGAAAGTATGTTTCGAAATCCGAAATCTGTTTATCAATTTCACGCAGTTCGGCGGGGGGAATGCCTCGGCAGCACGCAATGAATTTGGAAGTTGATCTCTGTCATCACTATCCTTATCTTCAAGGCAGATGTTTTTATTTTATTTGGCTATAATTGCTTAACCTAAATGTAGTATTTCATCTTCGATGCACTCCGTCTTTGATATGATTTAAAACAAGTCATCGTCATTATAATTCGCTTCCTGATAGTCAAGAAAGTAACAGAGGTTATTGAAAACGAAAAAAAAAATTTCGATTGACAAATTAGTCGGTATTCACGACACAGCAATTATAGGACTTGAACAGCGGAACTTTGTAAATTAAACAAGAATTATGTCTGTTTAATAGAATTAAAGAGAAGTATTATCACATGAAACAAGCAACCTTAAAACAACTTACATTGAAAGAAATGTTTAATAAAGTAAACAAATAATATTAAGCTTTTTCTCTTTGTAAATTTTGATACCCTTTAGATCATAATTGTTCTTTATTTCACAAATTACGGATCAAAATTATTAATATTAATTTTGTAATTTCTGCATGCCATCTTACCAGATTTAAACTGATGATCTATAATCCGGAAAAATCAATAATCCTGAATCGCCGAAGTCCCGACGAGTCCGGATTAACGACTTTTGACTGTATAAAATCTTCTGATATTGGAGATTGATAACTGTAAGTAGCACCGTTATAGTATGAATCCGTTATTTATTCTTTTGACGTAGCTGTTAAATATTCACTTTTTATCACCAATTAAACAAAAAGGCCCAGAAACGTTTCCATTTTATATTGAGAAAACAATCCAAAACAAAATGTTGGCTGATATTGTTCTTTGGCAAGCAACATATCAAACATTTTGATCTGAACTTGTATCCTTGCAGATATAAACAAATAGTTTCTTCTGTGGTAACCACTGTGGTAACACCCAGCATATTTGAATAAAAGCTATTTTATTTACAACTTTCAAACTTACATCATCATTAGTAGCAATTAGTTATCTTTTACATCATTTATCCTTAAGCTACTTACTACTAGATGCAAATGTTTAAAATTATCTTTGAGTTCTATGAACACTACAAAATTTTTTTGGAAACAGCTTCTTTTTCATTTTCAGATATTTTGCAAATGTTGCTTCTTAAGTTCAAATTCATATACCATACTGGCATAAAAGTGAGACTGTAGCATTCGTTACATGTGTGTCTTCAAAATACATATTTCTGTCAGTTTTAAGTAGATTGTGCAGCATGTTGTGTTTCTCGTGTCTAGCATTTTAGCATGTCTGGTATATCTGGAATATTTGTTTGATATTTCCATGCTGTACTTTCAGAAAATACCAGCTGAGAATAACAGCAGATTACAAATCATAGTCCATTTGTATAAAGGAATGTTCTTAATTAGAAAGGCTGTAGAAGAAGACAGATTGATTTAGATACCAATGTTAAGCGGGAAAATATTAGTTCACAGTAAGATTCATTTGAAAAAAAAAAAAAATTAAAGACTAAAAGCCACTTAATTAAGATAAAAAAGATATAAAAAATTATTTGAAATCAGTTGTCGTTGACAAATTTTCTTCCATAGTCATTGACACAAATTTCAACTTGTATCATTTAAAAAAAAATTGTCATCAAAGGCATTCTGCAGAGAGAAATAACATTAATAACCTCGTTGTCATTGCATTTCATCCTTTTGTCAGTTATATAATTGTGTAAATTTTCCAGAAGTTCAGTTTTCAAGTCATTTTCTCACATATCAATAAAATTCACTCTTAAAGATACCCTGCCTGTTTTACCTAATAAAATTCTTAGGGAATTTATAGCATATTTTGGCAGTATGGTTTGAGATATATTGGCCAAACTAAAATAACATTTAAGTGTCGCATCAAGGAAGCACTCATCTTATGTCTGGAAAGGAAAAATAAACAAATGTTCAATAGCTAATATTAATTAAAAACTTAGTTGTGGTTTTGACTTTGATTCTACGAAAATTATCCATAGAGCTTTTTCATTTGATGAATTCGATTTCCGTAAGGTTTTTGGACTTTTCACAAAAGAACTTGTCTTTGGTTGGTGACACTAATTCCATTCAGTCCCTTTTTAATGATTTTAGAATTCTAATATTATAGTTTATCGCGCTTCATTACGATTTTTCTGGACAGATGGAGTTATGTTCATGTTTGCTTTGCTCTACCCCATTGCTTTCGATATAAATGTGGTCATTGCTTCTCCCGATTTTAGATTTTCCCCCCTTCTCCTTGGTGCTGCTGAAGAAGAGGGATCTGTGTCTGATCACCCTTGAAATTTATAGTTTTATTCAACATCTGCACCAAAATAAGGTTGCTATTGTAGCTAATTTTAAGATAAGAGGGCTTATTTATAAAATAAGCTAAAATATATTTTTACACTGAACAGAAAAACTAATATGAAAGATTAATGATTTTAGATTGTTCAAAGACAAATTAATCTTCTTTTATTTAATAATGTTAGGGTTTACATTTTTTTTTTTTTTTTTTTTTTTAATGTAAACAAGTTTTGCAGATCACAACTGTAGTCTTGATATAATACATGGGAACTGCTGCTGAGGATATTGCTCGAAATATATTTAAAAATTGTTTATAGCTAATTTAAAGTGTTTTTTCCCTTTAGTCATTTATTTTACATTAAATTTTTGTTATCACTAACTGTTTAATCCTATTAGGCTAAAAGGAAACAGTTATGGGTGCCTTTAATTGAAAAAGCTGTTGCAAAACTTCATGGTTGTTATGAAGCTTTGGTATCTGGGCGTGCTATTGAGGGCTTGTCAACATTAACTGGTGCTCCATGCGAAAGCATACCTTTACAGCGTAAGTTTTGAATGTTATTTTTAGGTCTATATATATATAATACTTTGCTTTCTATGAATTTAATTTTTGTTTTTGTACAATTTATCTGAGGAATATGTTTTTTTCATCAACTATGAAAATTAGACATTCTACTAAACTAGCACCAACCATTCAGGCAGAAGTTTGAAAGAACAGATCCCTCTTTATTTAGTTAGTTAGATAATCACAAATTGTTTTTATTTAATTACATAATGAAGTAAGACCTTAAATAAATATGAGCTCAAATTTAGAGATTATCTAACAAAAATTCATTAAATCAAGTGAGCAGAATGTCCTCTCATGTAGTTTGGTAAGAGGGCTGGGACATCCTAGTAGTCTTATCTGGTCTCCATCAAAATTTGCAATTTAAGGACGAATTTTAACAGCTATCTTTTTTTTTTTTTTTTTTTTTTCCAAAATGCAAAAGAATAGCTTAGAAATAGCAGTTGACTTATACTCTTCATTGCAGAAATTTAACTGGATTACATCAAGTCTGTTGTGATGATACATTCATTACTGGTACAAAATTCCTCTGTTTAGCGACAGATTTTATTGACAGAAAATGGTTGATGAAAAAAATATGTACTTTTTGGTGAGAATGCCTCTAGTGTTGCACAAATAATCTGAAAGGTTTCAGATTTTAAATTACATCCAAAGGGGTGTTTTTTTAACTTTTTGTGTGTTACCTTTATTTATGAAATATCATGTTCTTCACACTTAAACCATAAAATTCAGTTCAACACCAATATTGCAAAATAATTTTAAAATGAACATATCTTTAGAATTTCAGATACACAGTCTCACACCCTGGAAATAAAAATGTTTTTTTCTGTACAGTGTTGCCATTGCTTGCTTTGAAATCATTGAATTTTTTAATCAAAAACTCATTAAAGTTTTACAAAATAGGAAATAAATAATAAAACAATTTCCAAACTTGGGATTCCAGATGCCCATATTCAGGTGGAAACGTACATTATTCAAAATTTTATGGCTCTAGCTACCATTGTTTTATCACAATGCGAGAAACAAACATACATTTATGCAGATTCTTCATTATTTAATTTCTTAAAATATAATACAGGGCAATAGTATTTGGTGTCAACAATTTGAAAAGTGTAACAACGTTTGTAGTGAATCAATGCAAAATGCCAAAATGAAATTAATAGTCCTTCTGGGCAAATTGCCCCTTTGGACTTAAAAAAAAAAGTTCCTCGTGGAAAATTCTCTGCAGGCAGTCAATTTTCTATAGCAGACAACTTTCAAGCAGTTTGGCACATTTAATTAATAACTAACATATTAAAATATTTTCATAATAAAAAACGATTAACATTAAAAATGGTAATTCCTTAACTTTTAAATGCGGAACAATATTCACTAAAAGTTTAGGAGGAAAAAGTGACATATGTTCTTATAAAAGCATAGAATTGGCTGTCCTTTTATAAGATCAGCTGTAAAGGCCCTGTAAAAAAGAGATGTGCTGCTTGCTTACTGCTAGGTTTTTTTTTATGCATAAGACAGCCTGTGTCATCGATTGTATTTAAGGAATGCTACTGTAATACATTCCCCATCTCTTAAAAGTAATAAACATAAAATATCTAATTCATAATACTGTGCTATAATTTAATGAAAACATATGGGAATATTTTTAGAAAATACATCACAGTACAACAAAAGGAAAAATCCAAGCATGTTAATGTATAAATACAGTATGTTTGATAGTTGTGGTATAGTTCAAAGTCTGGAATTTGGATATCCAATATCTGGAATAATCTAATATCCAGACCTCCAGACCACAAGCCTCCTTCCTTCTCCCCTGCAAATTAGAAAAATAAAAGAGAAAATCTGAAAGTATTAAGATTTTAATGTTCGCCCTAAAGGCCCCTTTTAAATTCTATAAAAATATTGACTATTTGTAATTAGATATATCATGAATTAAATGCATTTTTATTTAAGTCAATCAGATTAAAAGTTAAAAAATAATATTCTTAAGAACTGCATGTGTTGTAGTTTGTTAATTAACAACATGCAAATTAAGTATGAAAGAATAATATCTTATGTTTTTCTGAATAGCAGCATACTCGAATGAAAAGTGAAATGACACCGAATCGCATGTTGAGACTAATGCCTTTTTTGGGCTGGAGGCAGGTGTACCACAAATGTGATCTGAAATGTTTTCTCCAGACTAACTAAGATATCTGTATGTCACTTTTAAACACCTGCGGCCTTAGGCATTACACCATAACCATTATATTGATATTGGATCATGCTTTCAGTCCTTGAGTGGTTGTGGAAGGGGCCCTGTGCTACGCATTTTGTTGCCTAATGCAGTGTCTGCAGGTTCAAAATTCCGCTGCCTGGTACTACTGTAAATTCTACTCTCCAGTACCTTTCCTAAATTCTAAAATCCTCCCATACCTAATTTTTGCTGCTTAGTGCTCCTCTAAATTCTGAAATTTTTGCCACCCCTAAATTCTGACACTTAGTACGGCTGTACTGCTTGCACTTGCTCCGTCGAGGGCCCTATAGGGATTAATGTTTTTCTGTCTGACCTAAACAACGAGTGATGCCCCATTGTTGCTACGTCTGCATATCATCGTACTATATTTAAACAATCTACAATCTGGAAATTTCCAAAATCTGGAACTGCCGAAGTCCTGACCAGTCTGAATCTAGAACTTTGTACTGTAAAGAGCTCAAATATTGATTTCCCTGTTAGCAGCATTTATATGCAATGATTGACACTTGACGGTGTTTCCATTCTGATCAAGTTAGTAGCACTGAGCAAAAACATTGACTGTACCTCTTTTCCACCAAGCTTCTTACATTTAAAAGTGTGTTTTGTATTATTGTACAGGAAAATGCTTTTCTGCAAAATTATTATGGATCACATCCGCATCCTTCTAAGTAATTTAAGTAATTTATTTAGTGCTGTTTGTTGTATGTAAAGCATTAGTGTACCAAAATAGGAATTTTCAAATAAAAAAAATAATTTGTTTAGTTTTAGAATTTTTGTTCATAAGGAATTTATGATCTGTTTCTGATATGACAAATATAAGAAATAAATTTTCATTCATAATGAATACAATTGTATGAATTTATAATCTATTTCTCATATGACAAACATAAGAAATAAATTTAAAAGCCAAGTCATTATTTATTTGATCAAGTTACACATTCACTGGTTACTTCAAGTAACTCAGTCAATGGTAAAGAAAGCTGAATTTGAAGGGTACTTAGGATTGTTAGTTCTTGATTTATCTTTAAAAATGATAATGCTGTATAGTGAAATATTTTGAAATATGCACTCATTCATTACTTTTGCTGTTATATATGTAATACAGCATTAAAGCATTAATCTAAATATGATTAAAATATAGTGTGTGGCAAATGAAAAATTAGTCTGCATGCGCATATGAGCAGATGCCAGCTCATCTTTCCTGCTTCACTGATGCAATTACTGTAGTCTACTGCAGTGGTCCTAAAATTAAATTTCATATGAGCCAGAATTGTTTCTTTAACACGTTGACACCGGCCTGACCCACCGGTGGGTCATACTTCTCTGTTCCGTGGAGTGCCATGACCCACCAGTGGGCCGTGCTTATTCCGCAGGCCGGCATGACTCACTGATGGTCACGCTTGTATATAAAAAAATATGTAGTACAGTACAAAGTCCATAATCCGGATTCTTCGGGACTTCGGAGATTCTGGATTAGAGGTTTTTCCGGATTATAGATCATCAATTTAAATCTGGTAAGATGGCATGCAAAAATTATACAATTGAAATATGAAACCGTAATTTATGAAATAAAGAGCAATTATGATCTAAAGAGTTTCAAAATTTACAAAAAAAAAAAAAGCTTAATATTTATTTGTTTACTTTATTAAACATTTCTTTCAGTGTAAGTTGTTTAAGTTGCTTCATTTTTTGTACTAATACTTTCTCTTTAATTCTATAAATAGACATAATTTCTTGTTCAATTACAAAGTTCCACTGTTCAAGTCCTGTAATTGCTGTGTCGAGAATGCCAACTAACTTGGCAAACGAAATTTTTTCGTTTTCGTTTCGTCTCTGTCACTTTCTTCACTATCGGAAGCGTGCATGGGTAAACACTTTACGTGCATGTGTAGCAGACGTGCACATTAAACGCATTACCCGCATGCATAAGTTTGTGGCTTTGAGGTCCGGATTATAGATCATTCCAGAAAATAGACGCCTGGATTACAGACTTTGTACTGTACAAAATTTTATTTTATTTTAATTATTCAATGGTATACATTAACATTTCAACATTATAATCAAACATTCAATACAAAACAAATAACTTAAAAGCGTAACTTATAAATTAAGTATAACTAATTCTGGTAATGTACTACAGTTTAACACGTTGACGGCAGTGTGGATATTCATAGTTCTTGGACCACTAATTCAAATGCCGCTGCACGAAAAGAACAATGAATATCCGCGCCACCATCAACGTGTTAAGTAAAAAGTTTCTATAATAAATTTAAATTTCATATGCTAAATGTTTATCAAAGCATGCATAAAATAAGAATGATAATAATGCAAAGGAAAAACACATTCAGATTTATATTTATTTTCTAACTGGAATCTAAAATTTGGTACCTGCAAGAAATGCTTTTGGTTATACTTTGCAGTCCAAATTTAATACAACTAAATATTAAATTTTTAGATTGACATTTCTTTCAGATAATTCTGATACATTTAATTATTGATTAAATAACTTACTTTAATTTAAACCCAAATTAAACAAATTATGAAACCTTTTTAAAGATTTCAGAAAAAATTTACCAAGTAGGACAAAACTTGAGAATATACAACAACAATATAGTCTCTTTCTCTTATTTATTAAATTTTTCTTCGATACTTTGTTAGAAATAACATATATCTGTCATGAATAATTACAAACTTTTATTTTTTACTACAGTTTGAAATTTGATAATGTTTTGATTTGATGGTTTCTGATAAAGTTCGTAACCTTAGAGGGAAATTGTTAGAAACTATCTTCATCATGGATTATAGATGCTCATTGATTGATCAAGCTGTTTTCTAATTATTTTTCAGCTGTCAAAAACAGCTGTTCACATTTAAAGGTATTCCCAAACAGAGTGCAAAATTGTATTCTTAGTGCTAAATTTCGTAACTGTGCTTGTTTAATTTGCAAATAAAAGTTAATAAAATCAGCATTTCAAATCTTTGCACAAATATTACATTTTAAATTAATTAACTCAACATATAGATTTTCCAGGTGTATTTTTCATGTTTACTTTTAATAGATATGATAATAATATAAACTCAGACTTAACTAATAATCATGAAATCATTTTACCACTGTATTTGCAACAAAATACATAATTGACATATCTTTGCGAGCTGCATAAAGTTGTTTCTGGGCCCCTAGTTTGAGACTATTGATCTATTGTGGTGTTAGTTCAAAAGCCAAGAAGGCACATGAAGGAATTCAGTGAGATGTATTTTCCTCGACAAAGAATCGCAGCAGTGGATACCTGTGGCAGGCAGGCAGGTTGGGTTTTCATATGGCACCTTATAATTATAGATAAAGGTTAAAAAATTATATATTTCTAAATTCTCTAAAAATATTATAACTATTTTAAGTTTCAATTGTAATTTTTCACTTATTAATTTCATTACTTCAAAAACTGGATAATATTGCATATTTTAAAACCATTTTGGTTACTAATAAATAAAATATGTTTATTATATAATCCCCTTATGATTGATTTTTCAGCAAGGTGTTTGCTTACATAATCTTTTGATATTGTTGTTCATCGTTTTAGCATCATCCATTCCAAATGAAGAGGGCATTGATCATGATCTTATTTGGGTGCAGTTATTGAGTTGCCGAGATGCTGGGTGAGTTAATAATTAGAGCATGTACATTACAAAAAATTTAAGAAAGCATAATCATTTTTTATTGTTTTTATTAATTTTATAATTATTTTTAACTTCATTTTGTTTTATTAAGCTCATTTACTGTGCATATAAACTAATTTGCTCGAATTATTAAATAATAGTTCATTACGTAATATTTAACACCTGATTGTAGAATGGCTTGTTCCATCTATATGAAAAAATGAGTGTGTAAATATAATAAATATTTCAACTTGAAAGTTGTAGAAATAAGAGTAGTAGATTTTCTCATGCAGAACACAAAAAGTTATGATTGGCAAACGTAAGACATACACAAATTCGTGCCAAATAAAAGTAAAAAAAAAAAAAAGAGTTATGAAATTGTATGATGACTTACGCAGAGATGAAGCAAGCACATAAAACTCAGACAATGATTTCAAATGTAAAACAGTGTTAAAAGCGCAAAGCATGAAATCCCTTTAAAAAAAATAAAAAAAGAAAGAAAGAAAATCTGAAAGGATTTAGATTTTAACGTCACACCAGAGGATTTCTTAATTTTGTATGTTATCGCTGAGCATCACAGGTTACCAACCTGTTGTTGGACTCTCCTGCTAACACAATTTTTTCATTTTTTTAACTTCACATTATTAAGCATCACTTCTGTTTCACTTATGCCACAAAAAATTAAACTGCAAAATCAGAAAATATTTAAAAATAGCATAGTATCTTTTAGAATTCACCATAGAGTGTTACGTGTTGCCATACATTGCCATACATTTGGTGCAGAAGGGCTATTATTCTCAAACCTCACTTTTGCACCAGATTACTTTTGTTGCTCCTCTCATCAAACAGCTAGCTGCTGGCATGCCCAGCTGCCTAAAATAGTTTTACTATAAAAAAAAGAAAAATACATAATACTTTTAATAAATCCAGTCGATATCATCCAGTTTAATTAATAAAAGAGATAAAGAACTACACTGATTGCTTTGAAATCGCTTAGTATGTTAATCTATAAAGGCAGATTAAATTTTTAAAAAAATATTAATAATTTTTCTTCCACAAATGGCAGCTAACTGGGTGTGAAATATTTTACATCGGATATCTTTAAAATTCCCAATAAAATGTTAAGCATTGTCATAATGTTTTTAATATTTACTATACTGTTTCTTTAAAAATATACATAGGGATACATAGATATAGATTTTTCCATATATTTTTCATATTTGCTATATTATTTCTTAAAAATAATACATGGTCATAGCATTTGGTGAACAAAAAGTGAGCATTAGACAAAAAGTGAGGTTTAAAACCTCTGGTTCTTTAATAAGAAAAAGGGGGTAGAATTTACCAAACTTCTTAACATGAATCATACTGCAGAATTTTCCATTTTCTTTTAGTGTAAAATTCATGAATAATGTTATGGATTGCTAGATTTCATACCTATTATCTGTTTCCAAAATTATACCTTTATAATTATTGAATTTAATGTAAGGCTGAATACAAATGTTTGCAAATGTGTTCTGTACCATTTTTTGTAGTACAATTATTACACGCCATATGTGCAAGAAATGAAGAATAAGAAAATGTTTTTGCATATAAGAAAATGAATTACATTATGTGCTGGTATGTACAATATATGTATGAGTTCTAATATTTACTTCAATAGTATTCCAGGTATCATCCATATGGCCCTACAAGCAAATTTTCATTTTCATAAACACATCTCGCATAGTTCTGTGGGATCCTTGAACTCAGTTCTTCTAAAAGAAATATGTTTTTAAATAGTCTTCATCAGCAAGTTCAGGTATTGAGAAACTGTGAATGTGGCACATTAACTGTGAAAGTGACTTCCTAAACAGACTTTAAAAAAAAAAAAAAAAAAAAAAAATTGTCTTGAGATTTTTCTAATTAAGTTAACATATAATCTGGAAGCAAGTATATATAAATATATGTAACACATAATAGAAACATCATGTATTTTATTTGCTTCCAGATTATGTGTTAAATTATGTTATTTTCTGATTTTAAGAGAGATAACACCTATTTGAAAGTACATAGATCATCATTAAACACTCCAACCCCTTAAAAAATGAATGATACAATATTTTTTATAAATTAAATATGTTTTTCCACCAAGTTTCCTTAAAAAAATATGGCTTTTTGTTCATTCTATGTCAAGTCTATTTAAAAATTTATCTAATTAGCAGTATCTCAGTTGAAATAGAAAAATAATTAGCAATTCACATTTGCAACAAAATGCAAGAAAGAAAAGGAGGCTTAGAATTTACCAAACTTCTTAACATGAATCATACTGCAAAATTTTCCATTTTCTTATAGTGTAAAATTCCTGAATAATGTTATGGATTGCTAGATTCCATACCTATTACCTGTGTTTTCTAAACTCAAAGTGCATGCAAGCCGAACGCACAATCTGAAAACATCTGGCAGCTGTTTTTTTTTTTTTTTTTTTTTTTTTTTTCTCTAAATCTTTGTATAAAGTAAATGAAGTATTGTAATCAGGAAAAATTTGGTTATCAGATTTTAATGGAAATACCCATTCTGACCATTTTTGAATCTATTTTAATTATTTTTTGTGCGATGTCTATACATACGGACAGAATGAATTTTTTCATGACAGCTGTATATACACTTGTATGTATCTCACATAACTAAAAAAAATTAGCTATAGAACATTGAAATCTTCTATATGGGACTGCTGTAATGTTTAGTTGAGCATCTCCCTTTTTTATTGGAAATGGTACCAAAAGTATATATCCTCTTTACCCGTTTAAAAGGTCCTCACCTGGCCTTTATTTTCACAGTCGTAATTGTATACTTCTAATTGCAGAAGTGTTTATAAATGATAAAAATATTCATGTTTCGGTAATGTTAAATTTAAAAAAAAAAATTTGGATAGATAATGAAATCTGACTTTTAATGCAGTCTCTCTCCCTAACCCATTAAAAGTCCTGCTTACTACCCCTCTTATGCACTTAAAATTCCTTACCTGGCCTCTGTCTTCACAATTATTGGTCGTATTCATATACTTTGAATTACAGTCATGTTTTAAATGATAAAAATATTCTTGTTTTTATCATTTAAAGAAATTAAATTCTTTAAATTTCAAACCTTATGCACTGATTGTTAACAATTATACCTAGAACCACGAAGCGGGTCAATTTGACCCGTAAGAAATGTTTATGCCTAAATGATGAAAAACAGATACATTTTCTCGGAAGTAAGTGTAAAGTATATCTGCTAGGTATGTCTGTTTATTAAGGTTGACAAAGGGAAGTACATGGCCTTACAAGGGCTTCGAATTCCTAAAATGGACTGTACCAGAAAAGGGAATAGTGTGGTTTTCAGTCAAGGTTCAAAAGCGAACTGCGTCCAAACGCACTGGAAAACTACAACGAATATTTCGAAAGACCTTTTTGAAGTTGCTTTTATTCTATACTTAGCATAAAGATAGACAAAATGTCACATCGTTTAGGATTGTTCAACATTCTTCAGGAAGCTTCGGAATATTTACAATAATTGTCTGAAAATGATTCAGAAGATGATGATAATGATGAGTGTTTCAATTTGAGTTGCAGGACCAATACCTGCCTGCGAATGAAGAAAATTTGAATTCAGTGAAGAAAATGAAAGTGATGATGACTCTGGCAGTGCCCTACCAATCACTGGACCTTTTCATTGGAATAACGATGATAATTTATCAGATCAAAAAGGAAAAATAAAAAATTCTAAGAAAACATGCATACACTCAGTAAAATCCGAAAAGAAACCAGTAGTAACGTTCAAAGTTGGAAATAATGAAGTTGGCAAAGATGGGACAGTTTGAAGTGTTGTACAATTAGGAACAAATTATAAATGAAGAAAAATAAAATATTTTGAAGGAAGTTCAGGGCACAACACCATGTAGTAAATGCAGTATTATAGACAACAGTCTGTAAAGTGCCTGGAGACTTTTCATAGATGAAGGGATATTGAAACATAGTAAGAAATACACTGAAGATGAAGCTCATCAACAGATTCATGAAAATGAATGGAATATAACAGTAGAAGAAAGGGATGCTTTTATAGCAATTTTATATGCATGTGGTATATATTGTGCAAAAGGATTTGAGCTGGAATTTGAGTAAATTTGGAATCAAGTTCTGGTTAGCTGAAGATGTTGACTCAAAATATCTAATAAATGGATTCCCACATCTTGGGAAAGATAACTAAAGTTCATCCAATGTTTCTCTTTCTGAATGTGTAGTACTATGACTATTAAGTCCACATGAAAACAGAGGTAGAAATGTTACTGCAGATAATAACTTCTTCACAACACTGAAGCTTGCAGAGGCATTGAAATCCAAAAACACCAGCCTTGTAAGGTACTGTAAAATGCTGAAGAAGAGAAATACCCGTCTCTATAAAAATGTTGAAATCCATATTGCATGCAATTACGGTACTAACACATAAAGACATCAGTCTAACTGTTTATCAAGGGAAAAACAATAAAAATGTTTTGTTGCTAAGTAGAGTTCATCTAACTGTAGAAATTGTAGATAGTCCCAAAAATTTACCTGATACAGTGGCTTACTACAACGCAACTAATTTCAATGTGGACGCACTTGACCAAATAGCAATGAAGTATATTGTTGAATCTGCTTCACGTAGGTGGCTGGTACAGGTTTTTACACTGTTTTGAACCTTGTTGCTATCAGTGCTTCGGTTGCATAGCTGTATCTGGAAAATCTAATAGACAGAAATTCATTCAAGACTTAGTTAAAGAACTGAGAGAAGAGTTTGTTCTCTCCTGACAAAAAACAGTGACATATGATTGCATAGCAAAACACTAAAAACAATAGAAAACCACAAGTTAGGTGTAAACCAGTCTAATGCAGTTCAAAATGTGAAAATAAAACCCAAGATATTTGTTCAAAAGGAAAAGAACCCATTTACGATAAATGTACAAAACATATTACAAAATTTTGTGCATGATGCTTACTATAAGTTGGATTTTTATAAAAATCTGTAAAATTGATAAGTAACTGGTAAAATTTTTATTTTTTTTCCTCTAAAATTATGTCTAAACTTATTTAAATGATATACGTTGTTTTACCATCAAAATTAGAAAAATTATGTTTTATTTTGTTCAAAAGACATGTTATTATGCTTTATAAAATTTTAAATAATATGATTTTCTAAACATTTAGGTAATTCCCGTTGATTTATATAAAATATATAACATAAATTCTGAGAAAAATAATTGTTACATAAAAATAAAATGTTTTAGTTAACTAAAGTAATCACTTGTACATATTTTTAGGTGTTTTCCATCTAGGATCAAATTGACCTGCACCATGGTTCTAGGTATATCGAAAGTACCACGCTTTTGTTGTTAAACCTTTCTTCAAATTCTTGCAATAATAATTAATGTCATAATAATGCTAATTAATTTATGGGAAATATATATTAGTGGTCATATGAAATTCTTTTAGAGGACACCAGTTTGTGATCACTGGGCTACACTATGAGAAAATAAACTAGGTTTTATTTTTTAACTATGAACTAGGTTCAGTTGTACATTTTTAAAATTGTGAATTTAGGTTCCTAATGGGGGCTTCTTGTGGTGGAGGAAACATGCAAGTAAATGATCAAGACTACCATGCAGTTGGATTAAGGCCAAGACATGCATATTCAGTATTAGACGTACAAAACATCCAGGAGCTAAGGTAATATTTCATGCTTGCTTTTATAAAATTCTAATAAATTATATATTTTATTCCATATGGGTATTAAAACTGAAATAATAAAATAGAGGTAATACATTTTATCATTTTTATTGCATTTTAAGCAATATTAATATTGTGTGTTTTTTTGACATGCATGCAAATTACAGAAATAAATTAATTTAAATGCATTGAAATATCAAATTAATATTACATTAACATCGAAGTTTATAAATTTATGTTTTTCTTTAATAATTAGAAATGGAGTATCTAAAATTATGCAGAAATGGAAATCTAAATCTATTTTATATATGATTCTTTTTGTTCAGAGATGAACTTGTTACGAGTTTATGTGTTAATAATTTTATATATGTTACATTAATAATTTTAGTATATGTCTTAGTAATTCAGTGTATGCGTGTTAATAATTTTAGTGAAACCGTAGTATCTTTTACTGTAGTTTTTTTTATTAAACTGTAAACTTATTAAACATAACATGAAATTCCTCAAAAAGGCGAAGCAGAACAAAAGTGGAAAAATAATGTTACATTGTTAAGCCTATTTAACAATGAGGTAAGTGGGTATCTTGCCATTTTACCAGATAGGGCCAAGCTGGCAATGGTTTTGGTGACTAATTTTTTTTTCCAAGTTGACAAGAAATTGCCAAAATTCGCCAAGCGTGGCAAAATTTTGGTCTGATCCCTATGTATCTGTAATTAATGGGTTTGATCCACATATATAACTGTAACTGTATTCAGCCCTGTATATAACTTTAAATGTATATGCAGTTTAGAGACATCAAATGTACTGGAAATTTTTTAGTGGACAGGGTAAAGCTATATGAGACCGGAGAGAGCATTAGTTCTCAGTTTAGTTCAGAATTTAGCTCAGAGTATTAAGAGACTGCTGTGCAAGCTTGTGCATTGAGATTTTGTGTATTGTTTTGTGTTTGATGTTCCTATTAGTTTCAAGTGAGCTACTGATTGTGCTGTATTGTACTCAGAAGAGCTGTATGAATATTTCTGTGGAAAGATCCAAAGCTGTAAAGTGTTTCTTTTCGTGAAAATAAATTCATCAAACTATCATGCATTCAATCTGCTGTGTGAATTCAATCTGCTACAAACCTCTGCACATGTAACAGTTTCTGGTGTCAGAAGTGAGACTTAATGTTGGTGACAAGAGCGATGGATAAGCAACTAAGACAGCTAATGACAGTCTTTACTACATTTTGAGAAAAGATGGCAGTGACTGTCAACTACGTTAAAGAAGAGATGGAAGAGGCTATCAAGTCAGTTCAGGAAGAGATGAATATGGGCCAAGAAGAGATGAAAGCATACACCCCCCCCCAATAAAAAATGAAAGGAACCGTCAAATCGGTTCAACAAAAGATAGAAAAGGTCATTAAGTCATTTCAAGAAAAGATTGAAGTAAGTCAAATGAAAATAAAATGAGAAATTACTGCCATAATAGAAAACTAATTCAAAGCTATGGAAGGCAGTATAGATGTGGTTGAAAATAAAACTGAAGAAATCAAAGAAAGAGTTTCTGCTGTGGAGCAAAAAATCAATGGCTGAGTTTCTTTTATTACCAAAAAAGTTGAAAGCTTGAAGATATTCATACTGACAGCTAAAAACAAATCTGATGGCTAATACATCCTGGCTCTCTCTAAAGCTATCCACATATGATGGGAAAACCTCCTGACAAGTATACAAAACTCTATAGGGGTAGACATAAATGGATGGGATTCCCAAGCTAAGGCATGCCATCTTGTCGCTTCTCTGAGAGCAGATGCAGCAAATATCCTTCAAACTCTGCCTGAAAACCAGAGGTTAGACTTTGAAGCTTTACCTGGTACATTGGAGCTATGCTTTAGCAAGAGGTGTTTCAGGCTTCAGTTGAAATCTCGCCAACAGAATCCCACGGAAACATTCCAGGAGCTTGCCATGGATGTTGAAAGGCTAAAAAAGTGCTTTAGTCTAGGCCATGAAATTCAAAGTAGCTCAGCAAGCAAGCTATAGAGACTGTGACCCAGTCAGAGCGGCTCATGTTGAGGAACCAGACAAGTGACTAGTCGTGTGGATGATTTAACCAGGCCAGTCAGTGCTTTGAGGTGGAATAGAAGTGGCAAAAAAACCATCCCTAAAGTGCTGAAACTGCAGTGGTGAAAGCCATGTATGAAGAAACTGCAGAACAGCCCAAGGCACGGAAACAAAGACCGTGTTCCAGCAAAGAGGCAAGAAACAAACTAGGGGCTATTTTTTAGTATAGGTTGACACATATTGAGAAGCCCCATTTTAAAGCGATTCAGATTTCTGCAGTGAGTACCTGCAGTAATGGACTTTGCATCATGGTGCATATACATGAATATCCTTGGAATGTGACCACCGATATAAGAGCCAATGTTACCATATCCGAAAAAATTTGGCTCAATAGTTGGAAGGCAAACTCATCTGGAGACTGCCCTGCTTTACTCATCAGAACATCAATGGAAACTTAAACATTAACATCTCATTTACAAGTGCCACCTACCTGCACATGGCATATGTGGCAGATATTAGACATCTGCATACGCGGATTAGACTTTGTAAGGAAATACAGTTTTTCCTTGGACCTTTATAAATAATGAAGTGCTTTCTGCCTCTGAAGACAATCCTGTTTGTAATTAAAGATGAAGGAGTTAAATTTGTCCACCTAATAATAACTCAAGGTGTTATCAATAAGGCAAAAGTCTTTAAGAAAGATGAAGTGCTTGTGGTATGTATTCCAGTAACCTATGTTAAATAAACCAGTACTCATCCAATATCTGTGTCTTCGGAAAGTGTGTATTGAGGCTATTGAAGGATGCAAAACTAAGTGATGAAGAGAGGAGTTCTGAAGAACATGTCATTCAAAAATTTCTAGATGTTTTGCCCTGCACATCTTCTGATATATGTGGAAACGGGGATCATCCACCAATCAAGTAGCATCCAAGACGTTTACTGATTGCAAAACAGGAAGCAGGAAGAGGTAGCAAAATTTCTGAAGGATAGCAAGAAAGAGATGTTATAGAGCTGTTTGTAAGTCCATGTACCTCACTCAGTGTCCTGGTCAGACAGAAAAATAGTTCAACTAGATTTTACATTGACTATGGTTGGTTGAACGCTAGAAGAATTTTGGCAAAACCTCTTCCTAGAACTGACAACATTCTAGACACATTTTCTGGAAAGAAGTGCTTCATAACATTTGATCTAAAGAATGGATATTGGCAGGTAGAGATACACCATAATGGACCGAGAAGAGATGGCATTTACTGCTGGACAAGAAATTTTGTAGTTCAAGGTGATGCCATTTGGATTATGTATGCAAGTGCCAGCAATATTTAAGCAGCTCACAAAGACCATTCTAAGAGATCATTCCTATCTGGATGGCATCGTCATCATTGGAAAAAGTTTTGGAAGAGCATTTAGAAAAATCTTATAAAAGTGCATGCAAAATTAAAGGAAGCCAATCTAAAGTTAAGTTCTGTCAAATTTAAATTGTTTACACGAGAAGTTACTTACCTCGGACGTGTCTTCTGCCGAAGTTCTGCGTATGGATTAAAAAAAATGGTGTTGGGCAGTTGAAAGATTGAAGATGCCCTAAAAGTGTCCATCAGAAGTTTCCTGGGGCTTTGCACCTATTAGGGATTTGTAAAGGACTTTTCTTCCTTCACAAACTGAGAGAGAGAAAGCAAAAGTTATTGAGGACAAAAGAATGTGAGGATGCATTTACCAAACTGAAGGAGGCTTTCACATTGGCTGCAATCCTAATGTATCCTCAACTCAACAACATTTATTCTTGACATGCATGCAAGCAATGATGAAGAGTATCCATACTGTTTTGTGCCAAGAAATTGTTAACTAAACTGATATCATATCAAGAAACAAGTCGAAAAATAAGAAACGTATCTTTTCACATTTTTTATTCAAACTTAACAACACGTGCACGGCATTACAACGGCATCCATAGCTCACATGCAGAGAGAAAGAACTTGGTTTTGCCAACATGGTAAATATAAATGTACCAAACTAACACACCTCCTTACATTTATATTTACTAATTGCAAACAAACATAGATATAAGCAACCTTTTCATCTTTTCCATTTACAATTAAGCATAGATATAAAGAATAACATTCAACACTTAACACAAATTATTTTTAAAAAGGTTTCTTTCATTAACTTAAATGTTAAAATCAAAGTTAAACACAATTTAGTTTAAGACACAATAACACGCCGAACAAATACTGATTCAGAAGTCAAACAACAAAAACCAGCGTCAATTCACAAAACTTTCACAGGACTAGTTTCGATGGTTTTACCGAACCATCATCTTCAGCTGCAAAACCGCAAATGAACAAGATAGGAAATAATGTTTAGATAAGATAAGAAAGCCTGAACAAGAATAAGCAAGTGGCGCCATCTGTTGGCGAAACCAGAACTAAAACATAATTTCTCTAAAAGCCGAAGGCAAATTTGGATTGGAATTAGGATCGTTAACTAGAACAGAAAGATTTTTATGAATGTGAAATGTCTCTAGAAAATCCAGTTCTCCAATGGAAGATGTTTTTTGAATAATTTTGGCAGCAGAAAAATTGAAAGTGTGATTTTCGGACCAACAATGTTGAGCAACAGAAGACTTCTGTGTTTCCTTTTTTCTAACATATGCCTCATGTTCTTTGACGCGAAATTTTAAGGCTCTCTTAGTTTGGCCAATGTAAATTAAACCGCACTGGCAAGGAATCCTATAAATACCCCAGGAATTCATATCCGGAATGGGGTCCTTGAGTATAGAAGTTGGAATTTTATTGATGGGAGAGTAAACAACCCGAAAGTTAAATTTCTGCAAAATATATGCAACTTTATAGCTAATTGATGGAAAGAAGGGAATGACAACAGAATTTTTATAATCTCCTAAAATAAGAGTGTGGCTTTTAGTGTGTTGAGATGAGAATTTTTTAACTGCTTGATTAATAATGTTGGGTG